GAGACCCGTAAGACCAATTCTCAACCCTTGGATTAGATTTACAATCGTCAGATCTGAACATTTATAAACGCCACGAGACTTCTCATTAATTACGAAATTGCCACCTTGTAACTTTGCAACCATTAGATCATTAATTCATAAATTTGATCAATGAACATAAATTGGTCTTACGGGTCTCAGGAAAAACCCTTGGTCTCACGTGAACCCAACCCTATATATATATAGGGGCCTAATCAAATAAGAACTGATTAGTTTGTGGTAACTGTGAGGTCCAATCTCAACCACAAATCAACGGATAAATTAGGAAATTAATAATTATGATAGTTTGAGTTAAAATTATAATTAGAGGGTATATTAGGTATTTTTTTTAAACTCCTCTCCTCTCTCATCTCTCCGACCTCCGGTGAAATCGGTATCACGATATATCACAATGGGTATCACATTGTGTAGACAATGGGTATCACATTGTGTATCTTTGTTTTTAAGGTTTGAGTTGGTATCACAATGTTATCACAGTATATCACAATGGGTATCACATTGTGTATCTTTGTGATTACTTGGTACCTGCCGGATTAATGTTCACCGGAGATTGGAAGTCGGAGAGATGAGAAAGGAGAGATGAGTTTTTTTTTAAAATACCTAAAATGTCCTCTAATTATAATTTTAACTCAAACTACTACAATTATTAATTTATCCGTTGATTTGTGGTTGAGATTGGATCTCACAGTTACAACAAAATAATCAGTTCTCCCTTGAATGGACCCCTATATATACATAATAGTAGCAAATATTATAAAATTAAGAAAAAAAAAAGATAATTACATTAATGAAGGGTGTTATAAAGATGCATTCTTGAAATCCAGTGAGGTCTTACTGAATTCTACCATATCAAGATATTACAATGTATTTTTCAGTTTTATATAATTCGCCAATCCATTGTACGATTTTGGTAGAACAGTTTTTGAGGAGAATACTGTATATAAAACAAACGAACCCAATAAATCTAAAACGAAGTAGGGTCTGAAAATATAGAATTGGTCGTTATAATATCTTCATTTGTTGAAGTGTTACAAGAAACCAATCAATTGAGCATGCGTGTTTTTAATATATGATACAGAAACGCTGTTATTTGCAACGAATTCAATTGATTTGTCAATTCAATAAAAAGAACATGATATTTATGCATGGACCACACAACAATGATTATGAATTTGGTTCAAAGTTTGCATAGGGATGAAAGGTACTTTTTGGCCCATTGGTACCCCTAACAAAAGTTAAAAAGCAACCATGTGATCTTGCCTCGAATTTGATGTCACCCCAAGACAATCTTTACATATTGATTAATTGGTACTGTACGTTTATAGATCACTGTTCATCCGTAAGTCGGGTGTGCAATTCGTCCCTAGGGTAATGATCACATATTGTAAGATACAACTGTTTGGCTTGTCTTGGTAATAAATGTCAAATAAGAAATCTTATATAATACCAGAATCAGATATTTCATACGTACAACCAGAAGGTCCACATGCTTATTTCTCAGGCTAAATGAACTTGACTGTGTCTTTTTGGGGGAAAAATACATACAGGTCAAGAAGACTATAACAGACTGAGGCCTCTTAGCTACAGGGGAGCAGATGTTTTCATCCTTGCTTTTTCATTAATAAGCAGGGCCAGCTTTGAGAACATTTCTAAAAAGGTATGTTCAATATACATCCAACTGTGTTATTTTATTTTGTTTTGTGTAGGTCCCACTTCAATTTCTTATTATGTCAAGTAAATGAAATCCACTGTTATACCTGTCGTTTCTTTTTTGCAGTGGAACCCTGAAAATTTCTCCTAATATTCTTGCCATTTACTCTCTTTTCATATGTGGTTCGAATGATGGCTAACTCACTTTTCTTGATTATGTTTTCATGTCTCTGTGGGATATTCTTTAAATTGATAAGTGGGTCCCAGAGCTCCGACATTATGCCCCGTCAGTGCCCATTGTCCTTGTCGGGACAAAACTAGGTTGGTGGTGGTTTCTTTTTCTAATTATTCGCAAAGTTTTTGTTTTTTTTCGAAGCATTCGTCGACAAATCCATGTAATTGTGCCTTTAGCACAACAATTTAAGACATAAATATTAAAAAAAAACAACTCAATGGACTGAATACGTAAATAGACAAAGCTTTAGGGGTGCCATTTGTAAATTCAATAGGAATCCCATTTTGAACCAAGGGACTTTATTTATCACCTATATACCCTTGATTATAAGTAATGGACAAATTTAAAATTTACACTAACACCCTCTTAGTTTCTTACTTTTTCCAAATCTTGAATAAAGTTTGGTAATTTTGTTATTTTAGATTTGCGAGAAGACAAGAAATTTTTAATGGACTATCCAGGGGCTTGCACTGTATCGGCATCACAGGTACCACTGTCCAAAGCAACAATTTACATGGTTTTTGCAAAAGTAAAAGAACAGTGATTCCAAGTGAAAAATTGGGAAAGTAGAGGGATTCATACCGCAATTAAACAAATAAATGTTTTGGCATAGCAATTGAACTATTGTAAATTTCAATATTAGTCCCTTAAAGTATCACAAACTTCCTAATTATCTTTCTTTTTTTGAAATTTTTTGTTTTCACTCCCAGGGTGAAGACCTGAAGAAGCAAATTGGGGCCGTGGGTTATGTTGAATGTAGCTCTAAGACACAACAGGTTCGGTTTCTACATAGTTGTAAATACAAGTCATCAGTGCACTAACAGTGATCGTACATTAATTATCAATGCGACTTATTAGACATAACCATACTGAACGGGTTCAAGTCTTGTTAAGTGCATCTTATTCAACGTTTTGAATTTCTAGTCCTCATTTCGTTGTTGTCGGTTAAATGCAGAACGTGAAGGCAGTATTTGACATGGCAATCAAAGCAGTTCTTCAACCTCCAAAACAAAGAAAACACAAGAACCGACGTCGAGTGTGCCTTGTACTCTAATAACGCTTATGATGACATATACTAATAGACTATATAAGGTACATTTGACAATCCTAAAGTTCGGATATATCTCATTCATCGTACTCCATATATGTGTCAAACTAACTCTGCACGTTTGATCTGATTTGTTTCAGTTTATGGGAATGCACATGATAACATATCCAATACCCATAGCTTTTATGAATATCCATTGGGAATGCTTGTTGATGATGATGATTCCCTCAATCCTTTTTATTATGGAAACTAAAGTAGCTTTTATGTTCATTCTTTTCCTTGTGGGGGTGGGGTGGGTAGGGTGGTTG